GACTAAACAGGGCTGGTGTGAATACACTGTGAGGCAGGCAATATGTTGGCTCGGCAGCTGACCGGACAGCGCGCGGTCACATGGTTGTTCAGTGTGTGTGTGTAGTCCAAAACTTTCAATTACTTTTATAGAATAAGTTAATCTGGTTTAATAAAATGTGCTGTATCATCAAATCCATTATGAGGAAGATGCTAATTTAAACTTGTAACCTTTGTTATATATATGTATAGGAAAATTTTTATTTATTTATTTTAACAGTCATTTATCAAGTTAATGGGAACTTAGAATGTTTTTAACACTTTAAAGAGTCTTGTTTAGGTGTGATGTTTTGTGTAAAAGTTCTTTATATACACTTAGTTTCCTCCCCACACACGTTTATTTCAACCCACCGAAATATTCAATCGTCCTCATGAACTTCGGCCATTTTTCTGTCTTTACCTTCATTACTGCACAAGTAGTTTAAGTTATGAAGTAAAATACTATTTTTGTTGTCTCTTTAGTTTCCCTGAATTTGGATTTGTTAATTTTTTTAAATTGTTTCTACAAGACAAACTTTATTCTTGTATTTGGCATCAGGTTTCGCTAAAGGTTTTAATAGAAAAGTAGTTATCAGAGCATTTCTGTCGCAATTAAGGATAACGGATTACGACATGTACAGTATTACACTGAAGTCCTGTGCTGCGCCTCTTTTCTTCATGACTTGCTTTCCAGGAGTGGGGCTTTTGTGTAATATTTTGAAGTCACTCTGAGCAATAGCTTTAATGTCTTTGTCAATATCCGTTTAATCTTTTTGGTTGAACTTGAGCTGGTGCGTGTTATTTTCAGGCCAGTTTTTATGAGCGTCCTTTTCAAGGTGGCATGACTGAGCTGACGAGAGGAGTAGCTTAAAACTGCAAACTGCACTTGTCTTTTAATAAAGTTTAAAAAGTACTTATTGTACAAAAACAACTATGAAGCTAGTCGGATCAAAAACACCTTTTTAATATGACTAAAAATGTCAAAAAGGGAAAAACAAGGGATAATTTAAGGCTTAAAATCAACGTAATCTGTTTATTATAGGCAGTTTTCTTTATCTGCTTTAACGTCAAGGCTTCACAGCTCAAATGCAAACAACCCGGAAGACATTTTTAACCCGCCTTGCATGATTTCACGGCTCAAGAGTGACACCTGGTGGACTAAATGTTCACCAGCACAGCCTGTCTTGAAGCTGTTTGATTTCACTCTTCTTCACTCTGACCCTTCAGATCGCAAAAGTGGAGAAACTGAAACCTCTTGAAGTTGAGCTGAGGCGGCTGGAAGACCTGTCGGAGTCCATCGTGAACGACTTTGCTTATATGAAGAAGAGAGAGGAGGAGATGCGGGACACCAACGGTAAGGACAACAATCAATTAACTGGGAAGATTTAGAAAGAAAACTGAAACACCTGGTTGATTTGTTGCTTTATTTTGTAAGGAACAAGGTGAAACTCCCTGACCTGTTTTTCCCACTGTTGTCTCCAGAGTCCACAAACACACGCGTGCTGTACTTCAGTATATTCTCCATGTGCTGTCTCATTGGACTGGCTACATGGCAGGTCTTCTACCTGCGGCGCTTCTTCAAGGCAAAGAAGCTGATCGAGTAGATCCAGTCCCCTGGCTCCTGCCTGCCAGTCAGCAAACACATCCCAGCATCCACCCTTCTTGGACTAGCTTCAACAAAACAGCAAGCGGGGTTGAGGGGCTCTAGTTTTTAAGGTTGAGTGTGTCAAGGTTTTCTCGATGGGGAGGAATCTGCTTGTTTAGTAGCTGGAATCACTAAAAGCTCTGCAGACAGAGACATGGCTCGCTGCGTTTCTCTCTGTATTGCTTTTATTGCTGCAGCTCACTGAATTAGATCTTGTTCCTTCGATCAGTTCGATAGCTTTTTTTATTATTATTTGGAGCTCGGTTTGAGTGGATGTGCCATGACTGAATGTTTCTGCCCTTCTGTTGGAATATGTTCTTTGCCACGCCACACAAACTAGATCCTCGGTGCCCTTTTCTCAAGCGGAGCCTCTTTGAAAATATGGTTTGTTGTTACTTTAAAATGATTGGCAACCACTGAAGCTTTGTATTGTGTCACCTAAATAACATACATGTATTTAACAGTATATTTAGTTTATTTTTCACAATGTAATTGCCACTTAGTTGCTTTTACTGGTATCTTTTCTGTTGTGGAGGGTTTCTGTTCTGGTTATTTTCTTCAATGGAAAACCTTTTTTTTTTCTAATTCTTATTTTTTCTTTTTTTTGGGGCGCTCTTGCGTTTTCAGGTTGTTTCTGGAACAAATCCTGTTTTCACTCCCACGTAATTTCTATGATACATTTATGCAAGTTTCTCTTGTTAGAACTTAGGGGTCAGAGGTTGTGACAAGAAATGAAAAGTTGTCCGAACATTTGTTCTTTCGCTTTACATTCTTTGTTTCATTATACATGTGAAGTTTTCAGATTCAGTTCCCAGTAACTATCCTTGCAGATCCATCCAGTGTTCTTGGTTTGATTTTTTTTTTCTTTACAAACGTTTGAGGCTAGTGGGTTGTTGATGGTAGAAGTGGGCGTAAATGTGGGTTGTTGCAGATAATTTTTTTTTTTTTGGTCGGGGAATAATTGAGGCTGTCCTGGTACAGTTTTAACAATGAAACCTGCGCATTCAGCGCAGTCAGTGATTTTTATGTTATAAATTTTTGTAAATTTGTGTTGGACTTTTATTCAATAAAATATTGGATGGATTTACATGAGTTATTTTGTAGTCTAAAATGTCTTTATTTTTAATTACGTGTGTCTCGGTGGCACATTTAGCTGTCGCCTCTCATAAAGAAGGTTGCTCGTTTTTTTTTCCGTGCACTTGTGGGTTTTCTCTCGGCTCTCAGCATCCTTCCACAAACCAAAAACATGCATATTTGCTTAACTGTAAATTGTCCATGTGGTCCTGTGATGGACTTGGTACAAGGGTTTGGGCAAAATTGCATCGTGTGCAATTAATCATCAGGAAAAAACTTTAATCTGTTATTTTTTGGCAGTTTATGATTAATAAAGACTCACTGGAGATTTCACCGGTCGGTCCTCTTGATGCTCCTTTCCACTTCAAATATGACAAATGCATTTTTTTTAAAGTTCTGTAATTTGTCATAACTCCGGTTTTACTTGATCTGTCAACACAGATCAAATGGAGTGATTTAAAGTGGTCATGTGACTTGCACATGCAGGCATCCAGGGTAAAAAATCTGCTAAATACCCCAATTAATCGTGTTATTTTTTTTGTTTTGTTTTTTTTGTTTTGTTTTTTTTTGCCAGTATTGCCCAACTCTTGTGGTACTGGTCCAAGATGTGCCCCTTCTCTCACACACTGACCCAGAATGGTAAAAATGATAGTGGATATCAATGTCTACTGAAGGAAAATGTTTTTTTTTTCAGAAATTATCCGTTTCTGATGTCAAAAATAAAGATGAGATGTAAAAAATTGGTATGTTTACATACTGTATCTTCACGTTGCCATCATTTTAACATAGAAAAAGTGATTATGTTATGCTAACTAGGAATAAAGTTTTAGATAAATGTATTTGGTGAGACTTAGCTGCGGTTTCGAAGGTCGTCTGACGTTAAATAATTACCATATCTTTCACACAAGTTCAGTTGCTGGGTTGACCCCTGAAGAAGGGAGTACACGAAAGAAAAACTAAATAGAATTTGAACATTTTTTCTGTTTTTTAAAAAGTTCTTAAATGTTTAGAGACTTTTTGAGTCGTCAGCAGCTTCTTTTGCATATTAAGCTGATGTAATCAGCTGAAAACTGACTTTAGACTGATTCTCCCACACAGAATGCAAACACTTTATCCCATCTGTCTTCTGATTGATCCACAACTTTAGAAATAAACAAAGGATGAACCTTCTTATTTGATCATGAAACTGGAGTTGTGATGGTAAGTTACTGTGATTCATCCATTCTGGTGAATTTAACTCATGAAGACATTCCATAAAATTCCCATCTGTTATGTTTGTCTGCAGTAGAACTGGTGATGATCTATAATGCAACAAACCAGAAGAGATGAATGAGCAGAAGATGGAAGCTCCAGGATGTCGTCGTGGAAAACCACTGGGTTTTAAAAGGTGCGGCTGTTTTTTTCATCTTAGCTGCTCGAAAGGTGAAACTTCATTTAAAGTGCCTGTAACATCAATATTTTGTAACAAATATGAATGTATTTTTTGGAAAGAGGACATTGATAACATACTGTAAAAAAGATTTCACGCCGCTGAGATGAACAGTTATTCAGATATTTGCATTTTCAGTAACAGGAAGTGATGTCAAAGGGGAACGTCTGAATGCAAACAGCGCTTATACTATGGCTAACAACACAGACTGTAGAGAAGAATCTGATGTTTAGATTATTTTAATCACTAGCATAGTTAGACGAGATAGTCGTAGTTCAAATAATATTGTTTCAATAAACAAAAACCAGTGAGTTTTCTTTCTCAAAGAGTTCCCTTTTGATGTCACTTCCTGTTTCAGTTTAGCTGAGGCAACTTCCAAAGAAAATATGCCAAATGTGTGACATAACAGGTAAAATCATGTGTATCATGCCAAGTATCTTAAATATAAATATATTTTCTTTTGAGGTGTCCTGATGCATCTCAGTAATCCAGGTAAAAAATCAAAAAGAAAAAAATTGTGTAGGTCTTCTGGACGGGTTCTTCTTTAATGAAACGTTTTGTCTCTCCTCCAAGAGACTTCTTCAGTCTGAGAGTTTCAGGCAAAATTCAGGCTTTTAAGCCCTGCCTCCATGTGACTGATACTTACATCACATGGCTATCGTTGACACCTAATTAACACTTATTGTTAACAGGGGGTGGAGTGATACTGGCAATAGCAGCACTGTCCTCTTTCAGAGATGATGTTCTCATTCTTGATAGAGAGGAACGTTGGTTTGAGAGAGGAGTAAAATAAGCCATTTTTGTGAAGAAAGACCGTCCATCATTAAACAGAGGTGGAGGCCTCCGTTTTCAGTTGTCCCCCTCCCACAGCGCGGCCATTGCCAGTATCACTCCACCTCCTGTTAACAATAGGTGTTAATTAGGTGTCAACAATAGCCATGTGATGTATCAGTCACATGGAGGCAGGGCTTAAAAGCCTGAATTTTGCCTGAAACTCTCAGACTGAAGAAGTCTCTTGGAGGAGAGACGAAACGTTTCATAAGAGAAGAACCCGTCCAGAGGACCTATACAATTTTTTTCTTTTTGATATTTTCTTTGACTTTTTGTATTTCATGGATATTCAATTTTTTTTTTTTTTTTTGTTCAAACTTGCTCTATTGTTTCTCTTTTTTGTGACGGAGAGCAGAAAGAAAGACACACATTCGTTTTTTTGCTTGCAAATAACCCTGTTATCATATAATAAATACACTTATTTACATGAAACAAATATCAAAACATCCTTCTCTCCTCCCAGTGAAGATTATGTAGAACATACGGCTGTTTCAGAACGTTTTATTGGTTATTAACGGGAGCCTTTTCTCTGTCAGCCTGGTCCCTCTCACTTCTGCTGCTCCTCCTTGTTGATGATGTTTTTCAGGAGCGTCACCAGCTGTTTTTGCTGTCCCTCCTCCCAGCTCTTCATGAAGCCCCCGTAGCGTTTTTCTGCCGGGGGGCCGCTCCAGCGAAAGTGCTTCATCTTGTACGTGCCGTCCTTCTTCTCCTGCAGGCCTCCCAGGAGCTGCTGGTGCTCCTCCTCCGCCGCCTCCTCCTCCACGGCTGCCAGCAGATCGTTGGCCAGCCCTCGCCTCCTCATCTCCCCGGGGAACACCTCGGCAGACTCCTCCTGAACGCCGTTGGAGGTGTAGACTTTGACCGGGCGGCGTTTCCGGCCCACGGGTTTCCCCCAGCGGAAGTGCTCCATGGAGTAGGAGCGCTTGGCCTGAGGCGGGGAGGAGGAGGGGAAGGAGACGAAGGAGGAGGACTCTGATGGAGGAGCGGGCTGGAGGTGAGCACTTCCAGGGATGATGGGGGTCTCAGCAGTGAGGTCGGACCTGCAGATCTGGATGCACTCCTGAGATGAAGAGGAGGAAATCACCGTGTTTTAAAAACCTGATTTTTGGATCAAATCTGTGATAAATCCACCTGTTAAAGGTAACATTCATTTCTGTTCAGGTGATGGATTAAATAAAAATGAGGCATTTCTTAAATTTGGGAATGTTTGTGCTGAAAATGACAAAAAAGGCATAATTAAATAATTAATTTATTTTTCCCATTCAAAACTACAAAACAGCCAAAAAAGTTTACCATCATGCTGCTCTCAGTGTTCACATCCTGGCAGCTGGGATGTTCCCAGCATTGACTGACAGCTCCTCTGGCTCCGCCCACAACCACCATGACCACCAACAGCCACACAGGACACATCTCCTCTGCACCAATTAGAATAAAAATATTATTTTCTATTTTTTTTACTATTTTTCAGAATAATAACATAAAAATTGTTTAAACGGATATTATAAATTTAAAAAAGTTTTCTATGAGACAATAAATAAAACACATTTTGTGTATTGTTGCTCAGTAGCCCTGAATGGTGATACATTTGGTAAAATTTCTTATGAAACAAAAAAAAAATTAAACTTTTTTTATTCATATTAAATTATAAATAAAGTGTTAACTTTTTTGTTTGATCTAAGCTTTAAATTATTTATAGGGTTAAATTGATGTGATGTTTAATATTTAATTTTTTAAAATCTTTCAGTTAGAGACCAAGAAATACTGAAACATTTCACACACTTTTTCAAACATAAAACAGTCTAACAAATACAATGTTAAATATTTGGTTTAATTTCATGTTTTCTCAAATAAATCTTTTACTCTAATAAAATAAATCATTTTAAAGCCTTTAACCAAATCATCAATCAGAAAATACTTAAAGCAGAACATTTAAGATTCTCACCTGTTTCCTGTTTTCTTCTCTCTTTCCTCTTAGTTGTCTTCTTTTTCTAGATGAAGCTTTGCTTTTTGTTTGTGCTGTTGCTCCTCTTCTGATGTTTCGACCCGTTTTTCGACTTTTATATTCTGCCCGTCAAGGACACACACTCACACTCGTACACTAACGCGCACACACACATATAACGTCATTGTCAGCGTTCATTCTTGCTCGTAAACATCAATAAATAGAACATCTTCCGCCCTCCTCCCTCCAACCTTCACACAAACTCACTTTTCTTAAAAATTTTAAAAAAAATCAAACTTTTCTTTTGTGTTTATGAAAAAAAAGTATTTTTTATCAGTTGGCTTTGTTTTCTTTTAGGTTTATATTGTGTTTGCCGACCAAAAGAACACAAAACTTGACTCTAAAAGTGACCAGAAAACTCCCAGCGTGGAAATCTTTATTTTCTGCCGCCTGCTGTTTGTCGTGTGTTAAATGTCAGAGCACAGAGAGGCGGATTAACACGAAGGCGACATGTCGTCATCGGGGGGGAAGATGGGATTCAAACGTGTGAATCGGGGTGTACAGTTACAAACCCACACAGCTGCTGCAGCATCTTCCTTTTGTCCCGAGCTCTCGCCGGCACTAATGCCGTTTCTGCGCAGGATTTGTTTCTGCACGCTGATTTTCCAAGTACGACACCCGGGGTCACTGAGTTTCGGGCTTGAAATCTTTTCTTTATGATAAAAACACAAATTTTCAGATTTTTATTTGTTTTTTAAACCTATAAAACCAGTTTCATGTTTAACCTTGACTAATCACGAAACAGCATGTTCCTCGTCTCAGCTGTGCACCTCTGAGCAATAACTAAGCTCTACATGGTATTTCCTGCATAGAAACAGCTATGTGTGCTCTCAACATACAGATCTGGAAAACAAGAGCTAAAATCATCCTGGACCAAAAACCAATCACCAGTGATGCTGGCTTTAAGAACACTCATGCAAGAACCGTTCGTACGCACAGATTTGTTCTTAAGTTGTGCGTACGAGTGATTTAGGAGAATTTGTGGCATTCACCAATGTTT